GTCTCCTCTTTGACTCCTCTCCTCCGGTAAGCTGGTTGTCACGGCAGGAAGGACTGCAGCTGCTAGACAGAACAGGCAATGCTCAGGGGATCACAGCTGGTGAGTGATGGATGGGAGCTCAGGTCTAGATGGGAACCTTTGTCCTGTTCAATTATTGAGCAACACTACATCAAGATTGCTCACTAATGTTAATCTCGGGAAACTGTTTCAATGTATATACAGTATTCAATAGTAGCCTACAAGGAGTGGGACACTGAGAGATTCTGAACGGGGGCTTGGGGCAAAAATGTGGCCAAAATCTAAAATTCAAGATATAATGGCAAAAAATGTCACTGTATTAGCTTCTTCTTTTTTTTACATTTATAAAATATGATAGTTAGGCAATACACGAGCAGAAGTGCTGATTTTCCTTAATATAAGCTTGATTGCAAATCGTGATTTCATAGGCCTACAACAGTTTAATAAACAAGGTTAATATTAAGTTAACTTACATTTTAGAGACAATATTGTCTGTTTCTGCTCTATTTTGCCCAAGAATATAGCTCCAAATAGCAGAACATTTGTGCGTCTCCAAGCTATACAGCAGTTTCGTTCCAGAATGACTCAGCTGTTTTGAATGAATCGTTTGAATGAATAATGACTCACTCATAAAGACTTTTCGCTGACTACTGGAGGTTTAATTTCATTTTTAAAAGTAATCTAACATCATTTTTTGCCATCATTCATATTTCTGAAACATATGAAGGCTTCATTCTCTGTTAACAGCATGACCAAACCTAAATTGATGTAAACATTAGCTTATGAAACACACTCTCAAGCTACATGTCCTCTGGTTCAGAATTTAACCACATAAGCTATGATTTTGTTAGCGTCACGTAGCTAATGTATGCACAGAGGATATGAATCAGGGAAATGTCACTTTAATCATAGAGCATTAAGTTTGATTAATGATGTAATTATGAGCATTAAATGGAGAATAGTTATGATAAAAAATGTTCTATTGTTCTTTAAACTGTCGTTTGTTGTATATATGCAATAAAAGGTTAAAAAATTAAATAAATAAATAACTTTACATACACGTTTGGCACTTTTGGTGTGAATAGACCATTCATAGGTGAAGTGAAAGAGCCTTAAGATGAATGTTTAAGCAAACTGACTGCCATTTCGGGATTTATTTACAGGCAGAATGAAGACCACTATATATTTCTTTAAGGGATCCTATGAAGGAGGGGCAACTAACTTCCTTGAAACATATGAAGGCTTCATTCTCTGTTAACAGCATGACCAAACCTAAATTGATGTAATCATTAGCTTATGAAACACACTCTCAAGCTACATGTCCTCTGGTTCAGAATTTAACGACATAAGCTATGATTTTGTTAGCGTCACGTAGCTAATGTATGCACAGAGGATATGAATCAGGGAAATGTCACTTTAATCATAGAGCATTAAGTTTGATTAATGATGTAATTATGAGCATTAAATGGTGACTGACATGTTTTGGGTGGACCGTTCACCTCTACATCAGCAGGGCATTGTGAAAAACCATTAAAGCATCACGGGAGCCCAGTCAAAGGAACAAGCATATAGGCTGCTGCTCATTACAGCAGTGGCATCTGTGAGATTCAAAGCAATACCCATCAGCCCACAGAAAAGGTCCCGTCACACAGAGACGAACGGCCAAATGGGCCTGAACACCCAACATCTACAGTCATCAAATAAGCCCTTAGCCAGCAGGGGCAATGGCCTGGACCTGATTACTGTCTGTCTTCAGCAGCGAACACACGTCTGATATTACAGCTTCCATACTTGAAAGAAAAGTTATTATAGATGCCCAAGAGGAAGAAAGGGTGGCTGGATTTAATACAAACTGGTTTTGTTGCATATTACAAAGTCAGCGGCTTTGAAACGGTATGATTTTAGCCATGCAGAGCTGAAACCTTTTCTTCAAAATATCTGTTTTCAAAACCTTTTCCTCAAACTATCTTGTTTTCAAGAAGAAACGGAGATAGATGTTGACTTGCTGCTCTCTCCCCTAGTGAATCAGAAAAACCAAAAGTTGTTAAGCCTACACCAAATCTCAGTCAGCATTAATTATATACTCTTAAAGTCAGAAAATAAGCCCCTGCTTCCAGCATGACTTCCTCCGGAGAAGAACAGACCTCACAGCAAAGGCAGGTGAGAGGTGTAGAAAACAGTGATGTCTCCTCTTTGGATTCCAGATTTTCTACCTATAATCTATAAAAAATATATATGTGGGTTATTCTGAGCTAAAACTTCACATACTGTGACTCTAGGGACATCAAAGACCAATTTTACATCTTGTATATCGGATATTGCAGTTACACAAAATGAAGGCCAAACAGTCACTGATACAAGGTTACTGTACTCCATATTCAAAGTAAATATAAAAGTAGTGAAATGCTCAAAAATAGTTTAAAACATTTTTGGTAGACACTGGTAATTACTCACCCGAACTGTCTGGATGGGAGAAGGTTGTTTTGCCACTTCTCCAGATCCTTCAACTGCACATCGAACCGTGGGCTGATGACGCCACACTGCATCACAGATAAATTGTTCAGAGAACCGTTTGAGTGCTTGACGCACATATAATATCAGTAGTCAAAAACAGAGTGCGTCTGTACTCATATCCCACCATTTTCTAGCTTGTACTATTCTGGACGATGTTTGAAACTTTGTATTGCTAGCACTTATGTTATTGTCTACGCAAGATAAATCGCTCATTGTATCCCTCACTTTTAAGTTGATTTGGATAAAAGCACCTGCTAAATGAATAGATGTATTCAATATGAACTCATTAATATGACACAGAACCTGTAGGACCAATTCAACAAGGCTTGCCATTATGATGTTCTGAAAATTATTCTTTTAAAATCAGTTGTGCCTTTTGCCTAACGATGTCTGTTAGCTGAGACTACAATCACAATATCTCCTACCTTAATGATGAAATATTAGGGGTGGGAGCAAAAAAATAGATTCTTCAATGCATTGCGATGTTCTCTTCAACAATTCTGAGCTTTTTTGTACGTTTTGTTTGTAATTGCGCATACGTGCGCTAGATACAGCCGTATTGTGCTTGCTCCCAATTACACCCAAACACACAACACTGAATAAGTGCATAACGTATCATGGTTGAATAAGTTATGGATATGCAATGAGAGAAATCAGTTTGGTGTTTCAGTATTTTCCCAAAATGCTCTACGAAGGCATCATTTATGCCATTTGGAGTGCCGTATATATTGGACACACAAAGCTCAATGACAGACGGCTGCTTTCAAACGCTCAGTGCGCTTTGTGTGCGTTCATTCCTAAGAACATGCGGTTGTGCGTAACTCCAAGTTAAATGTACTTGCATCTCAAAATGCTTTTATGATGTGAAATTTATAAAAACACATTCAGTTATGTTTTAAGGACAGGACAAAACATCTGAAGTGTTAAAATAGATCTGTCCATTAGTGTGAATGCAGCCTAGTTTAGCCTGTATTAGACTTGCCGCTGTCAAAAATATCACTAGAAGTAATATAGTTTATATTTGTTTGTATGTTTTGAAGCCATATTTAGCTTCTTAATTAGTAATTATTTCAATAAGTGCATAACGTATCATGGTTGAATAAGTTATGGATATGCAATGAGAGAAATCAGTTTGGTGTTTCAGTATTTTCCCAAAATGCTCTACGAAGGCATCATTTATGCCATTTGGAGTGCCGTATATATTGGACACACAAAGCTCAATGACAGACGGCTGCTTTCAAACGCTCAATGCGCTTTGTGTGCGTTCATTCCTAAGAACATGCGGTTGTGCGTAACTCCAAGTTAAATGTACTTGCATCTCAAAATGCTTTTATGATGTGAAATTTATAAAAACACATTCAGTTATGTTTTAAGGACAGGACAAAACATCTGAAGTGTTAAAATAGATCTGTCCATTAGTGTGAATGCAGCCTAGTTTAGCCTGTATTAGACTTGCCGCTGTCAAAAATATCACTAGAATATAGTTTATATTTGTTTGTATGTTTTGAAGCCATATTTAGCTTCTTAATAATTAGTAATTATTTCAAAAAAGTAGGCTAAATTTTAAATCACAAATGTTACGAAGTAGAACGGTTTATTTGTGCGCATTTTATTTTAATAAAAATGCAAAAATAGATCTGATATATCTCGAAGTCAGTAATCTCAAAAAAAAAACGTAGATGAAAAATCCTTTTGGAATCGGATCATGAGGTGCCTTAAGATTCCCCCACCCCTATTAAATAAACTAGTATTACAACAATTTCATAATGTACTTAATATTTTCATTACACCGTAACTGTTTAATAAAAGCAATACGGCACTCCTAGTTCTATATTTTTACGAATATAGTAGACTACGTTCTACCGGGCTAAGAAAGCCCTTTAGCTGTTACTAAACGCACAACTCTCATAATTTTTGACATTTATTGTGAGCATAAATTTATTAAACCACTTACCTTGTTCAACCTCCCTGTTAGATTGACTACAATTTTCCCGGCTCTGTGATCATCAATGATCTCAAATTCGCCAATGTAACCTGCAAAGACCACACAACGAGATTGAGCAGCTTGTTTCACGAGATATGATTGAATTGCTTTAAAAGGGATAGTTTTCTCAAAAATGCAAATTGTCATTCATTCATTCTCATGAATGTATGAACAGACGCTTTCGTTCTGGGTAACATCTTCCAGGTTCAACAGAAGTCAATCGTAAAGGCTCCGAACGACACTGGATGAAATATTCTTTTCTCAACACACTAGGGCAGAATCCTATGTCAAACTCGCACACAGAAAAGCTCATAACTCACTCACCGTGCTTCATCATCACAGTAAGAAAGCGCACTATGACTTTAGAGCAGGGTCTGAGGAGAACCTGGCGTTTCCCACGTTTCTCAGCATTGTTGATGCTTTTCAGTGCATCAGCGAGAACGTTCATGCGCACCATGATACCTGCAGAGAAAAAAAATCATGCGATTTATCACATAATAAATATAGTTAAAATATCCGTTACACAGCCTCATCTTACCAGTCACGAGCCAAACGCTACTCAAAAGCCAGGTACATATCGACAAAGCGGCTGTATGAAAGACTAAACGTTCAATCACACATTCTTGGAAACCGAACACCGAAAACTTTGTTACATGATTAGAAGTTAAAACTGTGGTTATAATTTTCTCCTGAGCTATGCGTTATGATTAACGTTCTGGCAGTGCGTGGAATAGTTCGCGAATTAAAGAGTTTTTCTTCACCATGAACCTTACTGTTTCATAATACCATATATTAGTGGTTAAAGTAATGCAGCGGACTGCTGGAGTGCTTTGGTTTGACTCGGGTTATCCGTGTCTGTCCCTCAGAAAGTGGAGTGACACTGAATGGTGGACACGTTAAGACAGCCGTGAATATCAGGGAAATATAACTGTTTATACAGACACGATTCACCAAATGACTCATAAACCTGGCGTTTTGGCTTCTCATATACATATATTTCTGTCTACATGTGGATGATACGTAACGATGTCCGCGATTTTCAACAGATTATACACGCATTGTAGCGATTCTGAACCTTACCAGTTCTGCAATATGGCGGAAAGAGGAAGGAAGAGAGGCGCGCGGTGCGATTAGGGAAATATGTAGTCTCGCGAGAACACAGAAGGACGCTGCACGCGGAATCATCTGTTTGACTGCCACCTACTTGTTTGGAGCGTCTCACGAAACATCTGTATGTTCAGTCCTCGAACTAAAGACAGTATTTGCATAGCATTCACCAACGTTTTCTTGTTGGCTTTCTCTCTTTATAATCAATTTGGAATCCAGTATTCAGTCACTACCTGTACTATTCATTGCTACACATTGTTTCCAGTCTCACTACACCTGACCTTATCCCTAACTCTTTACTTTTGTTTATAACATTTTTATATGCGCTAATATTCACCATTTATTTTTAGTTACATTTCTATTTATATACTTTTAATAAATAGATAGATAGATGATAAAAAATTTTTATATATATATTTGTATTCTATCTATCTATCTATCTATCTATCTATCTATTTTTGCCCCAAGAATTTTACTTTTTGGTTATGGTCCAATTTGCTGTCATCTATAAGAGGTTGTCCCTTAAAATTCAACACAGAGAAACAAAAAAAGTTACAAAACATGCGTAACACCTATCTATCTATCTATCTTAAAAACAGACCAAGCACGATCTATGCACATTGTTTTTTGTGTTGTTTATTTCAGATCATGCTTTTAATCTCAACAGATTTTGTAAAGCAGTACAAAAGGAGAAACTATGCAAAAAAAAAACAGAAACATTTAATGTCTTGATGTCAGAGGAAGCAGTGTTAGGGTAAACAAGTCTATCTTTGATAGAAGGCTTTAAGTGCTTTACAGTGGACCACATCTGGTCAGAGTCTATGGTGCATGTCCATTTTGCTGGTTCTTCAGAAGGAGGTCCATGTAGGCGCCGTCTATCAGATCCTCCTCCTTCACTCCCAGGTCCAGCATGAGCTGATTTGCGATGGCCACTCCTTCTTCTCTGCTCTGCTGCTCTTTCATCACCACCTCCAGCTCCATGAAGTCCCCCAGGCCCTCCACACAGTCAACATGCACCCTGGTTTGTCCCACCATGTACAGCCTCCTCTCCTTCTTCACCTGCCCCACTTGCCCCAGTGCATCCGTCAGAACCTTGACTAGCCCTTGTGGGTCGTTGGTAGGGGTTATGGAGTAATTAGACAGCTTGGGTCCTTCTGTATCTGGCCTCTCATAGAAGATCAGCTGTCCTGTCCCATCCTGGAAGTCCCTGAGTTTCAGGCGTCCTGCGGGCACTTTGAAAAACGTGTCCTGCTGACGGATCACTGTCCCGTCCGAACCGCTCAACTCCTTTGCACGCTGCGTGAGGTAAGGCAAGTCACGCAAAACTGCTTTTATTTCAACATTTGACGGCATGTTTAAAAGTTATGCAGTAAACTATAATGTCAGAGCTGCAGTGCAGATCTGTTGTTTGGCGCGCTTACCCGCAAACCTCTAAAACGCATGCGTAGTAGTGACGCTTTGATTCATTCAAGTGAATCGAATCTTTTGAATCCATTCACCAAAAAGAAATCACATCATGTTACATCATTGCGGCAGTAGGTGGCAACAAGAGTCTTTTGTGTGTTATTTTAAAACATACTGTCATCCATTGTTAGTGTACTTAAATGTTTGAAACTTATTGGATTTATCTGTGTTGTCTATTTTGTTCACATACCATTCAATAAAAAAGCATCTTTTGTGTGTTATTTAATTTGCAACCGATTCGTTAAAGACAACTAAAAACGCCTGGCTGTACTTTATTATATTATTATTAGAATATACGTGTCTACAAATGTATTAAAGACAATTAATATGTTAATTACTATTATTAAGAGAGTGTTTAAATATCATGAACGTTTTCCCCACAAATGACAACAAAGCATTTCCCCTACAATTGTCTGGGCATAACTAAAAAAAAAAGTAACCTAATAATAATAATAATAAATTGGTTTCAGCCTTCTTGTATTATTTACATACATCAAATGTTCTTCATCATTTACATCATTTTGTGGTCAACAGTTATTTTACACAATTCGTCCTTAATTACCTGAGCAAGATTGACTTTCCGACTCGATCAGACTCAAAACACTTGTCCAGTGAATGGGCGTATATGATAAATAGGTCCAATCCTGGTCCAATCAATGATATGGTTTGATTATTTCTATGACTGTAGGATGAAAATGTGAGTCAGTGCATGAGAGTGAACACAAATGATTCGTTCGCTTAAAAGATTCATTCAAAACACCGATTTGTTCACGAACGAAACACAATTACAGCGCATGCGTAGCAGTATCGTTGTCACTACTATGACTTTAGTTAAATGTCACGTAGCATTTAAATCGATTTTTAAACAAAATAGTTACACGGCTTCAATGCATTAACATCTTTGGGACTGAAATTTGATAGTTATCGTACCTGTAGGATGAAAATGTGAGTCAGTGCATGAGAGTGAACACAAATGATTCGTTCGCTTAAAAGATTCATTCAAAACACCGATTTGTTCACGAACGAAACACAATTACAGCGCATGCGTAGCAGTATCGTTGTCACTACTGTGACTTTAGTTAAATGTCACGTAGCATTTAAATCGATTTTTAAACAAAATTGTTACACGGCTTCAATGCATTAACATCTTTGGGACTGAAATTTGATAGTTATCGTAATAGCACGCAATCCGTAGCAGATATCAGTGTCGCTCGTCTTCTTTTGGCGCTGCAGAGACATGTTTACATCCCAGACCTCTTCCTTCCAGGAGTCCATAGACGTGGATGAAAGGGATGTAGACTTCGACAACGAAGAGATCGCCGGATACAGCCAGAACATACAACAGATTAACAGCTACTATGCCATATACTACTACCAGAACACAAGGTGCAGTGGTTTCCAATTGAAACTATATTATTGCATTAGGTAACGTTATGCTAAGGAGGCTTTCCAAATGCAGGATGCTCTGCAAAGTGCTAGTTGTTTTAGGAATATTTTTCCCTTTTATACCGCATATGAAGGAGTGTATGGGATTTAAGCATGCATAGTTAGGTCTAGCTAGTCTTTTGCGTTTTTCGACGTTTATGAGGTAAAATGAACGATTCGTTTGCTTATATGAATTAAGCTTGCACTTGCATGACACTGCAGAACAAACCAGGAATATCTTTAATTTGAAGCATGGTTCACAATATTGGGTTAGTCCAATGAAATCATATGACTGTATCTTGGATCAGTATATGGAGACTGAAATGTATGTAAGACACTGTAAAACACAGTACATGGTCATGTAGGCCTATTGGGTTAGTCCAATGAAATCATATGACTGTATCTTGGATCAGTATATGGAGACTTAAATCATGTATGTAAGACACTGTAAAACACAGCACATGGTCATGTAGGCTAGTGAGAACCCCGGGAGACCTTAACATATTATTACTTGTTAAGTATTAAATGCATTATCAAACTACCCAGATCTGAGGCTTTTGGAGAGAGTGTGGCCTGGAGCCAGAGGAGATCAGACTCAACCACAAGTCAGGAAGACTTTAGGTAAAAAGGGAACATCCATCATCTCAATCATTTCAGTTCAGTGGCTTTCAGTGTTGTGATGGAAGAAAAATCATGGCTTCAGTCAAAAAAAAAACACACACTCAGGATTCTGCGTCTGGCTTTTCATCATGTTGGCTTGCTCACATCATTCATAACCATTGAACTAATCTGTCTAACATCAAACTGTGTATTTCTGTTGGTATGTATCTCTGCTAGGTGCCGCCGGTGGTTCTGTGAACATCATTGCTTCATTGACTGCTTATCTGTCCGCCTGTATTTCCTTGTTGATATTCTAGTTTAACACATATTTTCCACTCTTAAAGTCTCACGCTGCTGGATGCCAGCTTGCCACCCGAGGCCGAGCCGGAGCTGCGAAGCTACATCTCGCGCAGGCTGAGCAAGGGTGCTTTGCTAGGGGGTATGGGGAACATTGCCACTGTGGAGCTAAGGTACATCGTATCAGTGTTGTTATTATTAAAGTCCCCCTGTGGTGAAAATCAAGTTTTTAACATTGTTTACATGTCTGTCTGATGTTTTTAATATGCTTAAAGACAAACCATATGCAAATTCATCAGTCAACACCATTGTTGAGCATTTTCTCCTTAAAACTGCAGTGTACCAAAGACAGTGCCAAAAATGCGTTTGAAACAGCCCGTTTCTTACCGTCACAAACATGTAATCAGTCTCATCAGCTTCTGGGTTTGGGCTTTCCATATTATTGGCAAAGCGTTTCTACCTAAGGATGTTGATTTTTAGAAAGTAGCTGTCAGAGATGGCGAAGGGGAACATGATATATGTATCATTAGCAACACATTATTAGCTGTTTGATAATGTAATCAAGCCAAAAGCTAATGATATCCGACACTGTAGATGAAAGTTTGATACATCGACTTGTAGCTGACCCTGTATAATTCACTCTTCATCTTCTTCTCCTGAATTAGTTTCTTGTTCAAACATATATGGCTGAATTATTCCAATATCCTATAGTGGGAGTGATTGAGTGTAGAATAGATAGGGACTAATTTGTATATTCGCATATACTAAATAAGGTAAGGGTGTAGAGTCATATTCAAGCTGTTTAAGACATTATTTTCAAAATTAGTGACTGCAGGGGGACTTTAAAACTAAAACTATTGAAACATGTTTTCGCTAATTCAAATAAAACTGAAATAAAATAAATATACTAGATGAAAAACAATGTTTTAAATGAAAAACATAAAATGAAAATTAGAAATGTTGCTTTGGCAACTATCTGAAATATGTAATTTTAAGTAGAAGTACTAAAACTGAAACAAAAATTAATTTGAGCTAAATAGAAATATTAAAAAGAATAGAAAAGCCCATAACAAAATTACTACAACTTTAAAATAAACGGAGAATATCAAAATAAAAGCTCATTCAAAATATAAATAAATAATACTATTTAAATAGTACTAAAATAACACTTTCATATTTATTTTCATATTTCAGAAAAGTGAAGACTGTTTTTTAAATAATATAGTATTAAAACATTTGCATTACTTCAGTGCAAAATTAAATGTGACCCTGGACCACAAAACCTGTCATACGTAGCACGGGTATATTTGGAACAATAGCAAAAAAAACATTGTATGGGTCAAAATGATCGATTCTTCTTTGATGCCAAAAATCATTAGGATATTAAGTAAAGATCATGTTCCATGAAGATATATTGTAAATTTCCTACTGTAAATATATAAAAACTTTTGATTAGTAATATGCATTGCTAAGAACTTCATTTGGACAACTTTAAAGGCGATTTTCTCAATATTTTGATATTTTTGCACCCTCAGATTCCAGATTTTCAAATAGTTATATCTCAGCCAGATATTGTCATATCCTAACAAACCATTTATTCAACTTTTATGTGATGTATAAATCTCAATTTCAAAAAATTGACCCTTATGACTGGTTTTGTGGTCCAGGGTCACAAATAGCCAAACCATATCTCATTGTCATTCAGAACAATATTACAATGGATTCGATGTTTGTTTGTGTTCAAGCATCCCTGAGCAAGCGGTGGGCTGTTACTGCTGTCTGCTGGAGCAGGAGAAATCTCCAGAACAGCCTGAGGCTGATGGCAACGGCTGGGTGGTGTGTCTTCTCGGAGGATCAGAGAAGGGCCTGAATCTATATCCTTAAATCACAAATGACTGACCATTAAACTGTAGGAAATACTGCATTGTGCACTGAAGAATGGAATGTTATCAAATTACCATTGTAATCAAGCATGCTGTTCTCTTAATAGGATATTTAACACATTTTCTTTAACTCTACAAACGTTTAGAATTGAGCTGGACAAGTACGTCCAGGGTCTGCAGGGTTGTTTGACTCCAGAGGTGAGGACAGTTTTTGCCACTGACAATGGAAATAATGTACATGTTGAAATCTGTCCAGTTTTTTGAAGATATATCTGCAAGCACACTGCTTTTTATATCCGTTTGCTGTAAATATTGTTGGCAACCTCTGGCTACAGATGCAGAATTTGGAGACACAAGTCAGGCCCTACGTGATCCGCTGGTATGAAGAGTCAGTTATGCACATTCACAGAGTGGTTCAGCTGGTGCAGGCGAACGTCGGGTACCTTCTGCATGCTGTAAGAAACCACTGCTGTCTAGATCAGATTTTTAGTTTTATAGAGTCATATTTGAAAGCAGTAACATACTGTATTATGTGAAATGGTAAATGAACTACTTCTCTGCTGCAGGCTTTGAGTCACAAGCTTTTCGAGGTCACAGGGGCAGATGAGAAGACAAAAGCAGATATAGCAAGGTAAGCGAAACAACTTTATCTTAATAGCTGCTACATTTTTATGGTTTTAAAAACTGATAGCCATTACAACTTGATTAATTGTCTTATTAGATTTATCAAAGCAGCAAGCCTGCAGGGTCTAGTTCAGGAAGCCTCCCTCTGTAAGGCCATTTCAGAGGACTCTCACAGCAGTCTGATCATCGACTGCTCCACCAGCCCACCTACACTCACCAACGAAGGTCAGCAGCATCAGTCCACTAAATGTACAGATGTTGTTATTTTACAAATGTCTTATTTTGATAATGTTGTGTTGATATCCCTGCAGTCAGTAACCGGTTCTGCGATGACTGGATCCAGGCCTTCCTCAATGCTGCGGAGCGCTTTAACCCTTTCCTTCTCCGCCAAATCCTGGAGAACTTTAAACTTAAGGTTAATTTGCTTCTGAAGCTTTCTGTGTATAATAGTAACCTGGCATCCAGACAAAACATTTAACATTTGTATGGCAGGCACTGATTTTTGTTGCTTGCTCACCTATATTTATATATTTACTTATACTTACTTATAATTTAAAAAGTGTGTAATAATACACTTATAAAACAGACGTTTCCTCCCATCAATAATTTTCTTTGCCATTAAGATAGCATTTCTGAAAAAGTAACGTTTAGCATACAAACCTGTATGCATTTCTTTCTTCTGCAGAACACGAAAGAAGATATTTTGGAGAATGCTGATAACTAAACAGGATTTGTTTGATGTTGACTTCTGTTGTATTTTTGGTTTTATTTTAATTTTTTTGTCCATACAATGGAAGATAGTGGTAACTGAAATTGTTTATTACCAACATTCTTCAAAATGTCTTTTGTGTTTCAGGGAGGAAAGAAAATCATACAGTTTCAGAATGACATGAGGATGACTACCCATTTAAATGCATTAGATTAATTTGAGTTACTTTCTAATTTTGAGTGTTACTGGTAACTGTCTGCTCTCTGGTTTCCAGATCTTGCATATAACACTTGTATTTTGTTGCTGATAATCTGTGTCTTGATTTAATTATCTAAATCTAGTATGATGTAAACATCTGCTCACAATATAAATTAATGAGGATATGTCAAATGTTACGTCAAAAAAGAAATTCTTAACTTTTAAAGTATTATATTAAGTATTAGCTTGCGTTTAAAAAAAAAAAAGCATTAACTAGTATTATTAAATAAAGAAACTTTATTTTCTGTATAGTACTGAACTGACTTAAGAGTGGTCACATTCAGAAATGCCAGTTACCTCATTGTGACTGTCTTCAAAATGCACATTGTTTCTCCATGCAGGCCATTCAGGACATGAACAACCTGAAGCGCTTCATCCGTCAGGCAGAAATGAGCCACTACGCTCTGTTTCGCTGCTGTCTGTTCCTGCAGAGCTGTGGAAACGGGGACGTGCTGCTGCAGAATGCGCGGGCCGAGCACAGCAGCCTTCCTGAGGCCTGTGGCATCATAAACGTGCTGGAGGAGTTCCTCAGGGAGCACGCTCAGGGCACGCTGTACTGACACCACAGTGTTACTGTACATACACTCACCTGTCTGAGAGCACGACATGAACACCCTGAAGCGCTTCATCCGTCAGGCAGAAATGAGCCACTACGCTCTGTTTCGCTGCTGTCTGTTCCTGCAGAGCTGTGGAAACGGGGACGTGCTGCTGCAGAACGCGCGGGCCGAGCACAGCAGCCTTCCTGAGGCCTGTGGCATCATAAACGTGCTGGAGGAGTTCCTCGGGGAGCACGCTCAGGGCACGCTGTACTGACACCACAGTGTTACTGTACATACACTCACCTGTCTGAGAGCACCTTGGAGGCGGCTGCCCAGAATTCCTATTTAACAGCCATAATCATAGCAGTGTGGTTTGCATTTTAACTTCAACAAACTTGAATTGAAACACTAAGTATAGTCCATCTTCGTGTGTGTAGAGGTTCAGCAGAGAAGGTTGAAAAAGATTATGCTATGATGTGCTGCTGTATGTTGATTTGGCTGCATAAAAATTATAAACTAAATAGATTCTATTAAATGGACCAATGAAAATACATGTGATTAAACTTTAAATCATTTTTCTCAATAATGTGTATATATTAACAGTACTGTTTATATGTGACAACTGATTCTAGGATATAGTCTCTATTGTGCAGCAGTCATTGTTTTGAAGATGTGTGATTTTTAAAACTGGCAGTCCTAGATTTACAGAAATAGCAACTCGAATTAGAAAGCTAGTCACATAATCATGAAGCTCTGCGTACGCAAATATCCTATTAACACTCCGCTATGATCTACCATACTATGACTTGCATTGTCAAGGAAGTGTCACTAAATAACAATATATCTTATACTTATATGAACTTAGTTATGTTATGTACCTACAAATTAAAGCAAAAAAAAAAAATTGTCTTGAAAAAATATGATTTAACATACCAATAAAATAACGTTATAATCCATTTGCTGTATACACGACCACCACTGCAATGTTTGATTCTAAATAAAGATTTTTAACATTAAATAATATTCTCTCAAAACAGTTTTATGAGACTAGTGTAAAAAAAAAACACCATTAAGATAAAAATTCAAAACAAATTCAGATGCACATTATTCAATACACATAATTCATATCATGCAGCTTGCTTATAATGATCCTTTTTATCATTTGATTGGTATGTTTGAATATATTTATAAACTCATCTTTTGGGAAACTCTCAATTGCGGTTTCAAGCATGGTTTCACTCCGTACGCAAATATCCTATTAACACTCCGCTATGATCTACCATACTATGACTTGCATTGTCCATTTTATCATTATTTTTTAGTTTTGTTTTTTTTTTGTGGTAAAGTGCTTAATTAGATAATATGAGGGTTCCCTTGCAGAATTTTTCAATTGTGGTCTTGTGCACTATTTTATTGAGACCCCTTGCTTTTCCAAGGAAGAAGTGGGTGAAAATCCTGCCTTTTCTCGAGGAAGTAGATTTAATCTCAGAGTATCTTTGAAGTGCTTTTATTGCATTCATAACAACGTCACTTCTTGTATTGGAGGAGTCCTCTGGCCAAAATAAGAGTGAAAGGAGCAGGTATGCAGTTTCATCTATTCTTTTTCACTTTATAATTCCTTTGATTTATGTTCTTGTTTGCTATTTCAGAATTTTTGTTACCAAAGACAAACAAAACGTCTGATAATCATAAACTTGGTTGTAAATGTAATGTTTAAAAATAACAGAATTGTGAGAAACCTATTCCTTAAACATCATGTATATATTGACCCAGCTGTAAATGGCGATAATGTGTATAATTATAATGTATGGTTTATCTTCTTGCTTAGATTTGACATGACTGTACTGTGAGTAATTTTTTTCCAGGAACATTTCATTTGTGTGAACTTGTATAAACGAGAAATGTTCAACTGTGCTTTGACTCGCTGTTAATTTAACCTTGATTCTTGAATTCATGCAAGAATTAAAATAACACATTGTGAATTAACACAGGCAAAGTTGTAGTTTTTATTCTGTTTTAATTAATCCACTTTAAACATCTAATGCGAGATTTTGAAGTTCTTCAATGGAAAGAAGCTTTCCAGAGCCAGGTGAAGCACAGGAGAGCACTATCTGACAGAAGATGAAGTTTATGAGCTCTGTCTGGTCGAGATCCTTGTTCAGGTCAACTGGAAATAGGTTAATTATTTTCTCAAGCTTTGCTCCAGCTCTTTGCTTATTATTATCAGAGAGCAGGTAAAGAATTGTTGTAACATTACCACCTCCAAGTTGGAAAATTTTCATTTGTCTCATTAATGGGGAAACTATGTTTGCATCAGAAGCCTCATCCTCTTGAATGTCATGAAAAAATAACTTGGCATACACAGCACTTTTCCTGAGGAGCCATTTTCTTGGATTATTGACTGTTTCAGGCTCTCCTTCAGCCAACTCCTCCTCTTCCTCAGAAGTGAAATTTTGAAAGCGAGCAAGATCCTCAGAAACACATTCCAGGGCAATTCTGATGCTGTTTTTCATTCCTTTTAAAAGGCCATGAAACTTTTGGCAGTATCAATGATATCAGTGATGTCCTCTGGTTGAATATCAGCATTTTTCTTACATATGGCATCATGTTTGCTGTAGAACCACTTTTTGTATACTTGTCCCAGTGTGTCAAGTATGTATATGTGCTGAGGAAGATGAGACTTGGCTCTTTTAGCCCAAATCTCAGCTTCCTCAAAATTTTTGTTTTCATTAAGCAGCCGTGCAAGCTGTTGAGCAACAAATGCATCCTCATCAAAACGAGTGTAAGCTAGCTTTAAAAGGTCAATGGCTTTCTCCACATCTTCTGTCTCCCTAACATGCTCTATTAAAGGAGAAAACCAGCTGTCATTTGGATCTCCCTTGCTTTTTTTGGTGCGTTTGATAAACAGATCTCTGACAAACTTTCGCAAGTCATCCCTTCCAAATCTGTGGTCAAACAGCACTTTGTCCTGAAGCAGACTCCTTGCTATTTCACTTTGGCTCTGATAACTGGAGAGCTGCTTCAGGATCTCCTTAGCTATCAAATGATGAATTATTCTCACAGAGTCGATATGCGTCTCACTGGATTTTAGCTGTATGAAAAAAAACCTAGCCTGTTCACTTAAGGAATTTTCGAATGTCTGGTGTCGAACTTCATCAATCCATGTGGATGTTGACGGTTTGGCCATTTTATCAAATTTGTCCAAGTGGATTCCTAAACCTAGGAATGCCTCACAGTGGGATACAGACAGGTATGAATTCTCAATGTGGCTGTTCATCAGTGCCACAAAGTTGATCAACTGTGTCTGAAGAGATGAATGATCAATTTCCTTCAGCAGGTTTTCAACAAAGCCTGTGATGTAAGACTGTTCAAACTCTTCACTCATGAGCACAAAAGTGAGTATAAACTCTGGTTCAAACTTCAGCTTGAGACTCCCTGCTTTCTTTGAGAAGAGCTTCTTTTCTGCTGGAGAGAGGTTGT